CCTTCGAAGCTTTTATTAGTGTGTGAAGGGTTAAAGTCGCGTGCCATGCGAAAACGAATCAATCGAGGCCCGACGGCGACGGCGACGACGGCGGCAGCAGCGCGTCGAGCAAACAATGGACCCGTTGAAATTTCATTAGACGCGCTGGCGCATCTATAATTTCGTTACAATGAAGCGTAATTGACTGTCGTAACGCCGCCGCCGCGCCGTGTGTATAAATAGTTTCTTACTGAAAGGAGTAGCACATTTTCGTGCGTAACACACACGTACACCAGACCGGCCGTAAACGTCGACTGTTTTGCGTAATAAGAGCCGTTAGGTTAACCACCATTGACGAACCATTTCCGACCATTGAATAACCGTGCCATCTCCCACTGTCTGTGCTCGCAAGGTCATCCATCAACCTCTCTTCGGAGGGAGCCTCCCCCCTCGAGTTTTAGCCTCAACGCTCTGAATTTAAATGACGAACTCGTGCCTCTGAGCAAGAGGAATGGTAACATTGAACCACTTTGGCCGATTACGCATTCATCTATCAAGAAATTTTCATTTCTAAAATAACTGTGGTAACCCAAGACTCTGACAAGTCTTATAACAGTTGGAATTAAACATTTTTTGTACACGCTTACGATTGTAAGCAGGACTAAAATAAATAACGAAATGAAATCCTCCGATCACGCTTTTAAATCCGCTTTTATTTTCGCTAAAGACCCTGAGATTTAAATCGTACCGATGCATTTTCGATCTTATTTCACAGCTCAGTGATACACAAGGTGATTTCAATCCGAAAATAGATTTATACTCGAAGACCTACAATCGAAGCGAAAACGAGGAGATCCAAAAAAAACATTGAAACCCCAACGAGTTGAATTTTGCATTTCCGGTCGTAGGAGTCCACAAAACGGGTCAATGAGCATGCTCTTCCAATCTTTGCAAAATTCAATTTAACTTTTATCGAATTCACTCGCTGTGAAATACTATTAAGTAACTCCGTAACACTAATAACAAACGCCTTAATGACTGACGTATAAAACAATTATTCTCCGGATTCATTTTACCCGAAGATTAGTATGCAAACTTCGTAACGCAATCTCGAGGCCATAACTTATACAAACAGAATTCGTTTATGCGCCTCTCGACGAATAAAACTTCTACCGTTTGTAGTAATCACAAACAGCACCGCTCCCCGCAAACGAGTTGAAACAATCGAAAGACAGGCCAAAGAGGAGGCGAAACATTTAGAATCCCGGCTGATAACGAGAAAGCTGAGGTCAAAGCTCCACTTAAATATCCATCTTCACCCTCGCAGGGTGATCTTCGCGCAAACGTTCAAAACGCGGAGACGAGGAATAAAAAAAAAAGAAAAAAGAAGACGAAGAAGGAAGTGGAGGACGAGGAGGAAGAGGCGGGAAAGTAACGGGGACGTCGCGAAGAAAGGGCAAGAAAGGCGAGCACCGAGAATAACAGAGTGTTTGCCTCTACCCCTTATTACGATTCGCGGCGAGATCCATTTTTACGAAGCCAAGAGGAGAGCTTCCTGTGCTCGTCGTTTCGCCGCTCAAAGCGTTCTCTCTCTCCTTCGTCGTCTAGCCGAGCACTTTGCTCGCTTCGTCGAATGCATTTACCAGCAGAGACGGGATCGATATCGAGACATCGTCGTCGGGCTGGGTAATATGGAAATTCGGTCGCGGCGACGGCGTGGCAAGAAATAATGTAAATCCGACGCCGAGCTAGGTTGCACCGCGCCGGGAACTCGGGCTGGAATTAATTTCGCGTGCGACGCGCGACGCTGGACTTTCGGGGTACCAAAGAAGTGAGGCTCGTTCGTTTCACGATGACGAATCGACCGGCTGCCTCTGACTCACGGCCAGGAGGAGTAGCCACGATGACGGTTGAAATTCGTGATTCGTTTTACTTGCGCGATATCTCACGCAACTCCCGTGACGAGAATAATACCCTTTTCGGGCAGTAACCAGGCGAACGGCGTTTCTGAACGAGCTTGAAAATGCAATGTTACACTTGGTCTTATTTCTTTACGATAGTTATCTTGAGATAAGGTACTGCGATTTATCTAAAAAAAATTGTATACACTTCTTCGGAGTTTATCGCATGATATAACTCTATCAAGAATTACTATGTTGCAATTTAAAGAAAGGCTACCAGGAAGGGACGTATCTTACGAATCGTGTACTCCAATATGTGCGTTATTAATATCCGCTTGGTATCATATCCGCCGACCTGTAGATTATCACCCCATCAAATTCGTCAGAATCAGATACCAACGTTTCAGTTCTCACCCTAATTTTGATAGCGTCAATATCGTTGAAAATTTACGACATCAATAAAACTACTTAATATCAGTCACTTCATCTTAAATCCAGCAACGATCAATCTTACTAAATTCGATCAAAGACTATAATAGAATGAAAATGAAATTTTCAAATATAAAACAAATATAATACAATTTAAGATATCCGCTAAAAAGAATGCATTTCCTACGGAAATTCCTTAAATGCATAAAACCTGTAGTCTAATCATGAGAGATCCAAAGAATAGTACGTAGTTATCAGTGGCAGAGAGCATGAAAATTAGTAGCGGAAGAGTAGGAAAGGAGAGCCAGGCGTCGGACGGAAGTTCTCGGGCGACCGATAACGGCGTCGTATAAATAGCTATTATTTTCCAGGCACGTGGCTTTCCATAACGTGACGCTGTCACCGACGACACGTTCGAGGGTGTATTCAGCCTGATCGCATGGATCACGTATCGTGTCGATCCGTTCATGGTTCGCGCGCACGAACCCTCGGACCATGGTGTCGCATCACGTGGCTGGTTGCAATCGGTATCAATCGTCGCGTGCGATACAGGACTCTCCGGACCGAAACGCGTGCTCCCACAGCTTTTTGCGCGACACTCGCCACGTTTCCGACCGGGGAATTGAACTTCGAACCAGTTAAGAGTTTTCTGACGATGTTGTAATTTGACGGAGTTCCGCCAAAGGGATGCCTGCCGGATAGCTTTGTCGGGGCACGTTTCATTTGTGATTCTGTTTGTCTGTCAACTCGGTCTTTTGTAGAATTAAATCCTTAATCTGACGAGGAACACACACGGGTTCGTAATTGAGTTTGAAGATTAGAGACGTGTATACAAGAATTAATACGAATCGTGTTTTACGGGATTTACATTCTTTATCCTTTGTACGATTTACGTGAAAGGAGATTGATTTATCGTGAAGAACGCTGACTTTTTTTTCTGGACATCTATCCGTGTTCAACGTTTGCCCAAATATAAAGAAAAGAAGTTCCGCATAAGAATGCAATAACAATAAATCTTTGATAAAAAAAGCGGACACCACATATCCATGAATCTCTTTTAAAAAGAAATCCGATATTTTCTCGCTGCGCAGAGATCGCGTGGCCTATGTTTATGCAGAAATTCATCGCGATAGAAGTTCCTTGAGCGGTGCGATGGCACAGCCTCGAGGCTAGAGACGAGGATCTCTAGCCTCGTTTGAAAGGACTAGAAAATACTAGCACAATGCGGCTAGACGACGCCGATTACCGCTTCTATGCATCGTGCATGCTAGCCGCGGCAGCGTGCATCCGGCACCTCGCACGTGTACCTACTACCGTTACCAATCTTCCATCAGGCGTACGGCACCAGGAAACAAGCGTAAGTACGTACGTATGTACTTTGATACCCGGCAGCTCGAACAACTGGTTTTCTTTTCCACCGGTATTTGAACAAACGTCCGTGTCGTTAACTCGTCTCCAGCGCGACACGAAACTTACATCCACGGTAGAACTAGTTCCCCGGACAAATATGCACATACAAGTTATATTCCAAGTTCCGGAGAACAAGAAACAGATAGACTTGTGATATCAGCTACGAACGTTTCATTTTGTTTAAAATTCTGAACGCCGCTGAGCAATTTATATTTCTTACTTTTGCAATATGAAGATTTAGGATGTTCAGAGATAGTATAAAAGTCAGTCACGTACACGGAGGAATTGTGAGACTATCGATGGGCACTAATTGTCAAATTTGTCCGGAGAACGGGAACAGGAAAACAGGAGATGCATCGACCCTATCGAATATACATTATCTATCGGTGTTCTACATCCCCATTCGAGGCACGTACGTTACACTATTTACTGGGTACCGGGGCGCGTTATCGTTAGGTACACAAGGAAGTAGCTCACGAAATTTCAGTACACCATCTATCTGGCCTCTTCCCATCTCCCCTCGACCGAATATTCCTCAGATACGTGTGGCAACGTACGGCTGCGATGAAACGGGAAGTGAGGATAAAACGGCATGAAACGACGTAAGCTTCTTTTCTCCTCCGGCGTGTAACAGAGAACACCAACGGAACTCCCATGGACGCGACGACGACGTGCCAATTGACGGATTAATTTTGAAAGCATTGTGACGAGGCTGCGAGCCTTTTATTACGTCTCTTCCGCAGTCGAGTAGAATCGTGCAACTTCAGTTTAATGATTAAATGGAATGTTTCAAAGAATGGAAAGAACGAAAAAGAGACGGGAATCTTTCCTCCTATTATTGTATGCACGCGTTCATAACTTCCTTAGTAATTAATACTATGTCTAGCAATTATTATTAATTACAAAACCACAGTATAAGAAAAAATAGTAGGCTCGTTCACAATGTCGGCTCTTATGATCTTATGATCGTTAGATTCGGCATGTTGTTAGTTTGCGGACTATAATTTGAAAGGTAAAACCATGATCTTATACATTAGAAGATAGTGGGTTAAACAGACTCAATTGCTATTGGTACGTAGCTGTAGTTTTCAGATGCAAAAGAGGTTCTATGCAATTTCCTTCTAACTCCACTCGTTAAGGAATAATTAGCCATAAAAAAAATAATTAATCGATAAAACTGTCCCCTTTCCATGTATTTCAAACATCTGAAATTCTCCAGAAAACAACAAACTCATTTCATCCACCCTGACCAATGTATGAAACAAAAACTAGTTTCCTTTTTAAAATAGATTCAACAGTGCATCTATCAATCAGTGGAAATTTCTATGCTACTATCACAGAATGTCTAAGAACACAGGGACGCATTGCGAGAACACCGAAGAGAACGTGTCTCCGCCACCGGAAAAAAGGAATTCGACCATGAGAAGGAGGCAGAACGGGGAGGACAAGGTCATCAAGTTCCGCTGCGATTTCCCCTCGACGCAGGTTAAGGTGATGCTGGCCAGAGGATGGATCCAGGTAATGGAATGTCCCTTGTTCGCGCCTCGACTTTAACAAGCGTAGGGCGGGAACAAATATCCCATTGTTGTCAAAGGAAATCGGTTTTAAAAGAAATCACGCCGTAAAGGAATCAAGGCTGTGCAAAAATTCGTACCGAATTGAGACATCAATTTCTTTCATAAAGAAATACTTATAATAATTTCGAAACGGAGTTTCGAAAAGTACGAAGAAGCAGGAAGTGATTTGATGATGCAAGTTCGATAAACTGTATCGCTATAAATGCGAAATAGGCATTACGAGAAAGATAAGATATAACGTTTGTTCCAGATAACGGATCCCAATGACCAGAATTGGCATATCTGGTGGTGCGAAACCAACGACGTTCGTCAGGCTCTAGACTTGAAGCTTGCCTCGCATCAAAAGATACCTCATTTTCGAAACCATTACGAATTGACACGGAAGAATTATCTTTACCGAAATTTGAAACGATACAAGAAAGCGTTGCTGAAGTCCAGCAAAATCGACGAAGCCGAATTGTGCGATTGCATGCCGTTGACTTTCGAGCTACCGAATGATTATAGACTGTTCACGGAGGAATATCACAAGCAACCAGGCGCCACGTGGATAGTGAAACCCGCAGGGAGATCACAGGGTAGAGGTACGCGGTCGAAATTTGTATAGAGAAAAGCAAGAACGAGATAAGATTAAACAGCTTGGTTTTCGTGCCGGTTAATTAGCACGGGAAGAAACTTCACGAAGCCCCTGTGCATACTGTTAACAGGTATCTTTCTATTCAGAAAGCTGAAGGACTTATCCGACTGGCGTAGCAAGGAGTTTGGCCAGCAACAGCTGGAAACAACGCCGGTCGAGACTTTCATCGTGCAGAAATACGTGGAGAATCCTTACCTCTTGGCAGGTTCGTGCTTCACCGCGATACTCCTTGCCATTCAGCCGCTCATCGCCGGCGAATAATGGTCGGCGTTGTCGAAGAAGGACGCCTCAATACCTCCGAAAAGGTCGACGCGCAAGGCCGTGGGCTGAAACCCGCGTACTTTTGTGCCAGCCTCGTCGAAAAGGAGGAAGCTTGAACGTCGAATCGTTGAAAAGCACTTTCTTCGATGTTTCTACGAGGACTGTGCGGATACGGGACTAGAGAGGCGTTCTCTTTGACGCCCGCACCAACGGTTAGGAACTTGTAGACGTTTCGACGTTTCAGGCAGAAAGTTCGACCTACGCATTTACGCTCTGGTAACCTCGTTCCACCCGTTGAAGGCTTGGTTGGCCAGGGAAGGTTTCGCGCGTTTGTCGGGCGAGCTGTTCGACTTGGAGAACATCGACGACAGCAGGGTACATCTGACGAACATGGCTATTCAGCTGAAGATACCAGGAAACGAGAATAGAGAACAGATGAAGAAGGGATGCAAATGGGCGTTGATCAAAGTCAGAGAATTCTTGACTGCCAGGCACGGGGTAGCTACCGTCGAAGTTTTGTTTCAACGAATCGCTGGTGTGTGCAAACAAAATAAATATCGAAAATCTAACGAGCGAACGTTTGTCGTAAAACCTTATTCACTTGCACTACATCAACTTCACCCCGACGTTACCTTATTAACCTTTTCCCATAAAACCTTTTATCGATCCCGTAGGCGTGATAATGGCCAGCCTTCTGGCGGTGCAGACCGTGATAATGCAGGGGAAAAACTCGTTCGAGCTGTACGGCTACGATATACTGCTCGACGAGGAACTTACACCGTGGTTGCTCGAGGTGAACGCCTCGCCGGCGCTGACCGGCACGGACAGCGAGGATTATCGGCTCAAGTTCGATCTGCTCGACGACACGCTGAACGTGCTCGATTTCGAGGGCCGTTTCTGCGGCAGGGAGAGTCGTATCGGCGGATTCGATCTCCTGTGGAACGACGGCCCGGTGTGGACCACTTGCCCTAATCCGTCGATTTGCGGCGAGGCACATACCGACCTGAGAAAGCTAAACATTTTCCTCGGGGCGAAAAACGATCGAATCGGACAACTGCGTCAACTGAAGGAATGCCTCGACGGAAGACGAAGCAGGTCGCATAGTTGCAACGCAACGGGTGAACGAACTAAGAATTGTAAACGTTCTTTACAAGATCCGGTTATTTAACACATGAATCAAGCTGTGACACTTTTAAGACAAATAAAATTCGTAGAGCTGATCTCGTTTCACGCGTTTGGTTCGAGCGGAATTTATTTTCCAATGATAATAATAAATGTGCTTATCCTATTCCATTTCCTTAAAGAATATATTTCCTAAAAATAGATTTTTATATCTATTTCAATTTTACACTGTGTCGAAGTTCAAAGGCAACTTATCGATTCTCCTCTTATCGTTCGCAGTGCAAAAATCACTACTTTCCTAGCTTAATAGCAGATGACAGCGGTAATTCACGCAGTTCGTAGCTACACTTTATACAAGTTTATCCAGGTCAGTACTTTCATCCAAGCCAGTTTTACCGCACTCTGAAAGATATCCAATTGCTACGGACTTAATTTAGAAAACGAGTACATTACGTGTACCTATGTTAATAACATTCTTAATAAAAGTACGTTCCACATTCGACTTATTCCGTTGCAATTATAAACTCCTTGAATTAAAACAGAAAAATTGTAACATACAAATATTTCATACTATCAATAAACCACTTAGAATACTCTTTCCATTTTGTCTTGTATGAAAAAAAAGACTGCTAGTCGTAAATCGATGGAATCGGAAAATGATTCGGAGCAGCAGGTGAACAGCGCATCAATACGAAAAATGTTCTGTACAGCTATATGCCGGGACGACACCTGGCCAAATTGTAAAAACGATAAATCACTATCCAGTATAGAAAAGTTTTCTGTTAGGCAATCAAGAGTGACGTTTTTAGGTGAATTCCGTCTGGCCATCGGACCCGACGCCGCATCCGTCACCGCATCGGCGGCATTTCATCGGGCTTTCCGTTTTTCTCGTCCGATTTAATTTCATTGTAGCTACGTGGCAACAACGGCCAAGCGGTACCAGCTGGCTGAAACTAACGAGCACGAATTCGCTCGGCGCCGTGCACATAAGCATATGCATATTCATATCATCATACGCCCTCATGTCCACGCTCGCCTGTACGGGATAATCTTTCTTCCACAATTCGTTACACTCCTCTGAACGTCATTTTTTCGATTACCCAGACCGCTGGCCAATAAGTACATGTCCATTGCAATTGCATTTGTCGCAAAATGCAATTGTCGCATTGGACAAAAGTGAAATTAAATGCATTTTAAAAATCTGATTTTGTATGATTTCGTGATTACTATAATATACATATATTTTCTGTAACGTTTACGAAGGAGCACTCACGGCCCGATTTTCGACAAAGTTCTGCGACGAACGTCCTCGAATAACAACGAACGCAGTCGTGTAATTGCAACGATAAAAACGGTCCATGGTAGAGTAATGGATTTTCAAGCCCGGTAGATATGAGCCCGGAAAAGTTGAACGTTTTCGTCGCTCCATCGTGACGAACCAAACTTATTAAATTCCGGGAATCGTTATAGAAACGCGGACGTGTATGAGTGCACACGTGTGCCGCATACCCACGGGAAAAATCCAGAAAGGGGTGGTTCAGCATTTACGCGATAGACCTCTTTTTCATCTCGTCGTGTCCTCCACTCTTTTAGCCGCGGACTAAATTTAGCGAGAGAGTCGTGTAACTTCGCGAGTGCACTCGCATTATCCTGATTCTCTCCCAAGCAAGAGCGGTTAAACTCGTTATAATGTTACTCCACGATTGTCGTTTCCTCTGCGCCCCCAAGTCCGCCGCGTGTTTTTCCCGATCCCCCATTTTCCCATTTGTTTTCATCCCTCGGTTTCCCTCGGAATTCGTTTTGATGATAGCAGCTCGACATCGAAGAGAATTCATAGCATCGATTGTGCTACGAGGGTCGCTCTGAAGAAAATGACCCCATTCGTCTGTATGCTTGTTATTTCGGTCATTCCTACAGAATTCGTCCCATTAGTATGACTATTCTAACTCGTCTTTCTATTACCACTCTCCTTTCCTCGGAAGTCAACAAGTCCTCTTAAAACTCGATGGGACTTATAACTACTCGCAATCTCGTTTCAATGTAATTTTCGAAGGTTGTCGAAAAATAGTTCGATTGCTTTATAAAAATAACGTTCGTCGTCCTCGTCGTTTTCGATGCGTTTAAAAATGGCCGGGCGTGTGCATCCGTTGCGAGCGTCTTCATCCGCATTTTCAATAACGCGCCGGAGCTGACGTAGACTGCAATCGTAAAGACATCGATATTCCGATTTCCCGTGATGGTATTATCGATGTGTACGTCTGGAGATCTCTCGCTCCGATGAATCTGACAAAATCAGTGGTTAAAGTTGAGTGTTCCGTTCGTGAGAGATAGAAATATCTCTCGAGGTAGATTTTCATACATATATCTTTTACCTTCATTTTATATGTGCAATTTATTTTCGATCCTTACAGATTTTTATCTTGATGGATATATGACTGATTGAATTATAATATATTTCTTTTATCAATTATAATCCAGTTGATAAATGGGTAGATAAAATTTAGGCGATGACGGTATCTTTTGAAAACAACGTTGTTTCTATATACAATATGATGCAATTCGGTGTACCGATGACTATATCCAAGTATAACTGCAAGGCCTTGCAGACCCAAAACCAAATTCAGGTTTTACGTGAAATCAACTCGGCCACTTTGAAACGATTCCGTGTTTGCGAGGTATAATAAATAATCTATATTTTAAACCGAGCTGGCTGATTTTTAGCTGCTGTAATTTAGATTCAAGTGTGGCTAAGTTTGCGCTGAAAATGCGAACCAGATACAGCTAACTTTATATTTAACCTTCGTGCAACCGCGTGCTCGATAAAGTCTGCATTTATGTATCTCACTTTTATGTAATAAAATCTCTCGCTGCCACTTAACGTTACTCGCGAATTCTGACGAAAGCTGAACTGAATTTTCATAATAATTAAGAACATTCGCTCGAAGCTATAGTTAAACTTTAAATAATATGAAGAATAAATAAATATTACAACTAATGGAAATAACAATTTTTATCTCACGTCATTTCAATATTAAAAATTGCGTTTCAATAAAATTTCTACTATATAAATCAGACGTTATTTATTTAAATGGACGGTGGCCGACTCGGAGGGAACTGATTGGCGTAATTGATACAAGACCCGACACAAGTACTTTCACTTTAAATCGGTGTAACAAGCAGGTCGCTTTGTAATCTTTCACCGACCGGACGAGTTTACACGTAACCACGGAATGTTCTCAAGCACAGCCGTAACTTTTATTCCGAGTATTGAACCGCGTGGAAATTTCCTACGTACAGGTTCTCGGAGTAAAATTCGCCTCAACGATTCATTACGATCGTAAGGCACAGGTGTTCTCGGTATTATGGAGTCATATATCATTTATGATGAGCCATTCAGAAAATAAAAGATGAGTTAGACACACGGCGAAGGTATGTGGTAGCTTGAAAAAAATGGACGGTGGCCGACTCGGAGGGAACTGATTGGCGTAATTGATACAAGACCCGACACAAGTACTTTCACTTTAAATCGGTGTAACAAGCAGGTCGCTTTGTAATCTTTCACCGACCGGACGAGTTTACACGTAACCACGGAATGTTCTCAAGCACAGCCGTAACTTTTATTCCGAGTATTGAACCGCGTGGAAATTTCCTACGTACAGGTTCTCGGAGTAAAATTCGCCTCAACGATTCATTACGATCGTAAGGCACAGGTGTTCTCGGTATTATGGAGTCATATATCATTTATGATGAGCCATTCAGAAAATAAAAGATGAGTTAGATACCAAGCGAAGGTATGTGGTAGCTTGAAAACAGTTCGGCAAAAATGCCTAACATCGATTGTTCAAATGTTTTTAAATAGTATTAGAAAATAAATATGTGTGCACTTGTTCAAACATTTGACATTTTACTGCGGTAGTAAAGATTTTGGAACTGCTTCATTTATCTGGACGTCCCGGAGGAATCCGAGGGTGCGCGTGTATAATAAATCAACGGTTTTAAGGGGGGAACGTACACGGTGTTGACGCAAATGGTGGACGGTCCCCATGGAGTATCGAGGACGGTTCCTAAATCGGGAACGTGAGCCGGCTGCGAATTTTTCGCCAGGCAGAGACGACCTAACCAACCGCAGGTAGGGTAATTGCAAAGTAAAGCTCGGTCCGCGGAGTCTCCTCTCTTCGGCGAAGCATCGCCATAGGGTGTAGCCACCTCGGTCTGCTCCCACTCTGAACCCGCTCGGCGACGAGGGTTGGCTTTAACGTCCTTAACCCATTTCCCGGCAGCGTTACGTTAACGCAACATAATGCTTCAGCTTCCTCTCCTCCTCTTCCTCCACCTCTTCGCGCGCTGGTTCTCTTTCTTTCTCGTTCTTCCCCGGTGCCAGTCCGCGAGCTGGCTCTTCAACGTCGTTCGTTAAACCGCACCGAAACGTTAACGATGCCCTCTTTCTTCGATAAGGAGCACCATTGCTGATCCTTAATTAATACTTTTGCCCGCGGCCTCATTATCACGTTCGATCGGCGGTCTCAAGAGCCGCGAATCGAACGGACCATTTGTCGTCGATAGGATTAACATATTAGGTATCGAGTGATCGAGGTAATTTCGCTGAAACGTGGAATGCCTCGATCGACGATCAAAAGACTGTTAGAAAGTCGACGATGATGCAGGTTCATGAGAGTTAAATTTCTCTTGGAACGTAGTACGACTTCTTAAGGAATTTCAGACATAACTCAGCTTTATCTAACCATCCTCTCCACGTTAGACAAAATTGCTCTTGAAAGTAAACTTTCTTCGTCATTCTTTTTATACAGCGCTACTCCAATTAAGCATGGTTTAATCCCACAAACAAAGAAAGCTCCCTTCTTATGAAAACTTGGAAGCAACGCTTGAAACGACGCCCACCGCCGAGGATTAGCTGCACCCTACGGAGCAATCGATTCTTATCGATAAGCATCGAGAAGGCTCGAGGTTTCTGAGACGCCAGACGACGCCAAGAAGACGGTTGTCGTCATACGAGATGTTCCTCAGGTGCCAAAGTACTCTTCATCTTCCGAACC